CTGCCAGTTTGATTTGTAGTACCTGTTGAAAGATGATTATTACTGTTTCCATTAGAATAGGCATTGCTCATATATTGTTCATCATACAGACAATCTATATGTGTACCAAACATTTCATTTTGTAATAAAGCTTGATATGTTAATATATCTTTAGTTCGATCAGCAGCGATTGTTGTTCCATTTGTTGAAGAAGAATTTGTTGTAGTATTTGTAGTTGATGATGTATCACGAGATAATTTTTTATCTGACATTGGTCCTTTATGAATTTGTTCTTGATCAATATAAAATGCAGATGGTTGAGATAAACTTCGAAGTGGAATGAAACGATCACTGTGTTTGATCGGTGATGGAGATGATAATGGAGATGAAAATGGTGACGAAGAAACTGATGAGCAACCTGAGATTGATCGAATTAAACGACGTTCAAAATCAGGCTCCATTATGGTCAATATTACAGATAGACTATTAGACCACGTTAATCAGAATATATAGAGATCATATTGACAAACAACGACAAGACAAAGACTCCGGTCATCAATGGTTCTACATTGATGTCCAATAGCAAAATGTTAACAAATGTTTTCCATTAAATATATTTTCTTATGATTGTTTATTTTTATTAGAAAGAAATCTTATTTGAAGTTTTATAGTGTCTTTAAATTACATTCGATTTTCCTTGAAAATTATTTTTTATTATCAAACTGAAGATCTCTATTCAATAGATGGCGTTGATGTTGTGTATCGTAACAATAAAATTAATTTTTTCGATTCAAATTAACGAGTATTTTTAATACTAAATATGTCCAGCAAAAGATAAACACTTAAAGTGCTTACAATTTTGAAAAGATGCTGTGTTTTGCACTTTATTAGAAAAAATAAAGTACCGTGAGATGATAGTACTCTGCTAGGTAGAAGAAGTACTTTGCATATGGTTGTGACAATTATTGAAAAGTTGATATTTTTATTTCTAATACACATATGATAGTGAAAATTAATTCGGAGAAGTATTTTTTTTTTAAATCTAGCCAGATAAATATGTAAATATTTTTGTCATTTCCAGTATGTTATTTTGTCGTATTGTTTTTTTCTTTGCATAGAAACATAGGTTTCAAATCAAGATACAAATAGTTATAAATTTGCTTTTGTTTTTATTGACCAGTTCTTTAGTATGATACTTACTTTGAGGTACTTTGTGATTTAGAACAAAGTATTAAGAGATACTTTCTTACGAGAATTGATAAGCTAAAAACCGAAGAAAGTCATTCAATTTCGTTGGAAAAAGAATGAAAATTTTCCAAGATTATGGGAGAGAGGAGTCGTCTCCCTACGCCTTTCTCTCTCCGGATATCTTCGACCGTGAAATTATCTAGCGTATTTTTCTTTTGAAAGTATAAACGAGTATTCGTAACATCTACATATCTATATAATAGATGATATTTATTTTAGTTTCAATAATTACAAGTATTTGAATATTTGTATCGAATACATTCATGAAGTTTACGAATCTCACTGCAATTTAGTGACATCCTTATCCTCATATTGATTGTTGTGTTAAAAGTACCAATCATGTGTAAGAATGTCGCTTAACTGCTGATAAACTCTGATCCTAAATCAAGATGAAAAAATATACTTCAAAAGGTAAGTTTTATATTAACTATAAGGAATATGAGATGATGGTAAGATTAGCAATTAAATATTTCGTATTGTGATTCATGATCTTTTCAAGAACTATATTGCATGTATAATTTCAAGTCCAAAATGATTTCATGATATTTCGATCTACTAATAACTATTTAAATTAAATTTTAAAAAAATATTCATTATTGTGTCAAAGTTGCAAAATTTATACATGTCATAAATTTTATTGAAAAGATTAGACTTTTGCATTTCATAATTATGCAGGCAAGTATATTTCATGTTCATATGTATAATTGACTGAAATTTGTTTCAATAGATTCGAAATTACTTCGAGCCATTGTACTAGAAGAAGAGGAAATAAATTATTCTAAAATTTCATATTAGCTTCTTTTTTTTTTAAATTTTACTTCTATTATACATTTGTGATAGTTCATCTTTGTTTTCATTGTAGTTTTCTTGTTTATCTATTTCATTTGTACATCTTGCTTGACTTTTTAAATCCAAAATATTTAAATTAATTGATCATAGTAAATAGAAGTCTCGTTGAGGTTCACATCAATATTTATTCTTTCAACACACAATTAAATTTTGTAATGTAGACCAAGCCATATAAATATGTAAAAAATTAGCACAGTCAGAACTTAGTCAAATGTCATTTTAGCATGATAATTATTCAATCTTATCACATCTTCACTGTTAAGAAACATACTATTGTCAGCAACTAACGATATCTTCTGAAAAACGAATATCTTATCTTAACTTCAAAGACAATAGATCGTAAAAAATGAATTTTCAATAAAATTCTATCGAATTGATATAATTTTTCATCTGTATAAATGTCAACATCGGTTGTTCAATAAACTCTGTATTGTGTACCTCATCTAAGGAAATAAAAACCATATTATGGTATATTTTCATCTTTTTAGATTTATTTACTGATTAAATTTTTACTTTCGTATACAACTACTTGTTTCGATATCGGATGGCCTCTGCATTGAGCTCTGTTCCACCAGAGGTAGCTTCTCTACCTGTCCTCGACTCCAAAGGTGAATCACATTCATTTTCATCACTCTACACGAGCACCAATGACAAAGAAAAAACTCTCATCATATTCATTCGACATTACTTTTGTGGTAGTTGCAAACAGTACATCAGCAGTTTATCGGAAGAAAATGGTTTGTCTCCTACAGAACTTGCCGCTTTACAGAAGCGTCTAATCATTATCGGTTGTGGTCACTCAGACGTCATCGAACAGTATGCAAAAGACACGAAATGTCCTTTTCCAATTTA